ACAGCAGCATCTCATAAACAAGGTAATTTGCTTGTTCTCTGTGGCTTGAGGAGCTCCTGAAGGAAATCCATCTTGTGGAATTTAATGAGGTCTTTTTTTTTTGCAGCTGAAGTTATCTCTCTCAAGTTCATGAAGGGAAAGAGACGTGCGTCTTTGATGGTTTCATGCCAAAGGATGCTGCTCTGATCCCCGATTCCTCGACTAGCTCCTGGTTTTGAAACATTAGTGGCTCTTTGGTCCTTTCTTGCTCATCCCCGAGAGGAGCCTCTTCAAAGCTCACGTCGTCGTTCTTCCCAGGCTCAAGAGATTTCAACCGGAGGGGACAAATACAGAGAAGTCCCCCTTTGACATCTATTTAGGCCCCATTTCCCAGAAAGAATTTCTCATTCGGGGATCAAAAGAGGTGCCGGGGTGCAGATTCGAGGGACCCATTTAGTATGTACTCATTTTAAAGAGTGGGGCCATTCTATCAAGTTGTAATTACCTTGCGGTCTTAATTTCTTTAAAAAAGTAGACAAAATAAGCCAAAGACAAAAAGCATACTGTGCTGTGCTGCCACAGCAGGTTCAAAGTAGCAAAAGGTTGGACATTATCATTGAACTTGTTGTTCCAAAAGATGATAAAATATACCCCCCCTCCACAAACCTGTTAGGCTGGTTTATATGTATTGTTTTGTTAATAAGTTAGCTTAATCAAACCAAATTTTCTTCAGTCCATTCAGATATAGCAGGAGATTTGATTCCCCCACCTCCTAATTATTTGATATTGCAATCTTAGCAGATGTTATAAGTTTGAACACTATTTCTTGATTATTTTGTGGAATTGCAGCTTTTAGATAACCAAGCAGAACTATTTAAGGTTCCAAGGGGTATATTGTATCCTAGCATATCAAAGACCTTAGCATGAACAGATTCCCATAATATCTCCAGTTGAGAACAATTCCAAAAGATGTTTATGTAATCAGTTTTTATTCAATCCACCTCTCCAACATTTATCCAATCCTGATTTATATAGGATAGGACAAGTTGGGGTCTTATTTCTTTTTAACCTTTTGCAAATTCACAGGGTCTTACTTCTAGATAAGTGGGCATAGGATTGCAAATGTAGAAATTTAACTTTATTTATTCCCAGACTTTTGGGGGCCACTCCCCTTGGATCCATAAACTCACCCCCAGTGCCTCCCACCTTACCTTATAAAAAGGATTATTCGGGAGAGCGGTTTGCATGACCCACTAAGGCAGAACATAAAGGTAAAGGTACCCCTGCCCGTACGGGCCAGTCTTGACAGACTCTAGGGTTGTGCACCCATCTCACTTAAGAGGCCGGGGGCCAGCGCTGTCCGGAGACACTTTCCGGGTCACGTGGCCAGCGTGACAAAGCTGCATCTGGCGAGCCAGAGCCACACACGGAAACGCCGTTTACCTTCCCGCCAGTAAGCGGTCCCTATTTATCTACTTGCACCCGGGGGTGCTTTCGAACTGCTAGGTTGGCAGGCGCTGGGACTGAGCAGCGGGAGTGCACCCCGCCGCGGGGATTCGAACCGCCGACCTTTCGATCGGCAAGCCCTAGGCACTGAGGCTTTTACCCACAGCGCCACCCGCGTCCCGGGTGGGAGAACATAGAACACAATAAAATGCAAAACAGCAGCAATTAATTGCACATGTATTCAAAATCCAATTCAAACTCTTTTGTTGAATTAATTCGACAGACTTGATCCAGTGATACCAGCTTTTCAAAGTCTGATAGTCATCGACACCTCTAGCACCCCCCTTGTCATCCCCTTGCCTCTTAGCACTCCCCCCCCCCCCAGAATCCTACTGCCAGACTGACCACAACGCTCCAACACACCTCAGGTTTGGCTCACACCTGGCCTGGCTGCTTAACTGGTAGAGCAGCGATCCATTTGGTAGCTCATAAGGTCATCTGGCCATCTCCTATAGCCTAGGAGGCATCAGGAATGGAAGTCCCCTTCTGTGGCCTTTTTATCCATGCTAACTGTCCATAGGGACGCGGGTGGCGCTGTGGGTAAAACCTCAGCGCCTAGGACTTGCCGATTGCATGGTCGGCGGTTCGAATCCCCGCGGCGGGGTGTGCTCCCGTCATTCGGTCCCAGTGCCTGCCAACCTAGCAGTTCGAAAGCACCCCCGGGTGCAAGTAGATAAATAGGGACCGCTTACCAGCAGGAAGGTAAACGGCGTTCCGTGTGCTGTGCTGGCTCGCCAGATGCAGCTTGTCACGCTGGCCACGTGACCTGGAAATGTCTGCGGACAGCGCTGGCTCCCGGCCTATAGAGTGAGATGAGCGCACAACCCTAGAGTCTGGCAAGACTGGCCCGTACGGGCAGGGGTACCTTTACCTTTAACTGTCCATACACACAAGCAGAAGCAGATACAGTGGTACCTCGGGTTACATGCGCTTCAGGTTACATATGCTTCAGGTTACAGACTCCACTAACCCAGAAATAGTGCTTCAGGTTAAGAACTTTGCTTCGGGATAAGAACAGAAATTGTGCTCCGGTGGCGCGGCAGCAGCAGGAGGCCCCATTAGCTAAAGTGGTGCTTCAGGTTAAGAACAGTTTCATGTTAAGTATGGACCTCTGGAACGAATTCAGTACTTAACCCAAGGTACCACTGTATTGTAATATCCAGTGGACTGAGATTCACCAGAATCTCCTTCCTTGTTGCACGAACCCAAGGTATTCCATGCTGTTGGTTGTGATCCCTTTGTTCTGGATGACCTGATGACTGATGATGATGATACCAGTGGAGCACATTTCAAGTACTTAAAGCAGATGTGCTCCAGCTCAGTAATCCTCACAGCACCTGCAAAGGTAGACTGGAATTATTAGGAGATGGTGATCAGGAAAAGTGAAGAAGCTCCCTTTCCCAGCCCAGTCCAGACTGTTTGCCTCTTTAGCGCAGTAAATTGATTCTATATATTTTATTAAATATTTATAGACAACCATTCATTATAAAAGAATCGTAACAATCCCAGTCGGTGTACACAGCACATTGACACCACGATCCATTAAAAGCCGACAATTAAAGGAATCCACAGTCAGACACGTCAATTGAAAGTATCTGTATGTATGGCTGGTCCACACTTATGCTTGCCTTATGCCTAGGAAGTGCAGGTCCAAGTGGTTTTCTGCTTTCTAAGGGACAGGTCCGAGTGGTTTTGCCTTTGTCCCACTGCTCCCCCCCCCCCAGAAAACCTGCTCTTTCATGATAAATCAGAACAAACAGCAATCTGCACAAAACCTGATTGCCGTTTGCTCCAATTCAGAGCTAAGCCGTGGGTTTTCCCAGGGGAAGGCAGCGGGGCAAGCAGATTTGTGGATGAGCCCATTGGCTTCACTGACTAGCAAGGAGTTGCCTTGCAGAGAGGAGACCTTTCCTATCATCTCCTGGCTGAGATTGTTTTCAGCCGGGCTTTAAACCTGGGTCCTTCTGCATGGCAAGGGTAAGCTCTGCTGCCAGTGAGTGGTGATCCTTCCCCAGGAGGCTGCAGAGAGATTTGAACTCAGGACCGTCAGTATGCGAATCAGATGTGATAATAGTGGGTAGGGGTACATGGTGTGTATGTGTATGTGTGTGCGTGTGTGTGTGTGTGTAGAACAGTGGCTCATCTAAGGTCTGTCCTTGAGTTCATGGCTTTGACCCAAGCTATTTGAGGGACTGTGAGATGCGGGTGGCGCTGTGGGTTAAACCACACAGCCTAGGACTTGCCGATCAGAAGGTTGGCGGTTCGAATCCCCGTGACGGGGTGAGCTCCCGTTGCTCAGTCCCTGCTCCTGCCAACCTAGCAGTTCGAAAGCACGTCAAAATAGATAAATAGGTACCACTCCAGCGGGAAGGTAAACGGCATTTCCGTGCGCTGCTCTGGTTCTCCAGAAGCGGCTTTGTCATGCTGGCCACATGACCCGGAAGCTGTATGCCAGCTCCCTCGGCCAAAAAAGTGAGATGAGCGCCACAACCTCAGAGTTGGTCACGACTGGACCTAATGGTCAGGGGTCCCTTTACCTTATTTGAGGGACTATATCCTCCCATCAAACCGGCCTGGGTTCTGAAATCTTGAGGGAAGACCCTTCTCTCAGTCCTGCCTCCATCACAGGCCTGCTTGCTGGGGATGCAGGATAGGGCATTCTCAATGGTTGCTCCCAAGCTTTGGAACTCCCTCCCTAGAGAAGTTAGACTGGCTCCCTCCTTGTTGTCGTCCTGACAGCAAGTGAAGATGGTATTATCCCTACAGGCCTTTGGGAAATGACTGGGGTTTTTTTTTTAAGGAAAGGGCTTTTAAGGAGTGCTGTCCTGCTTTTATTGCCTTTCACCATCTTCATTTTAATAGATCTGTTCTTTAGACGGTTTTAATACTATTGGAGCTTAATTACTTTTAAACATTTGTATACGTTTGTGGCTTTTTGCATTTTATCTGTGTTGCTTTGATTGGGGTATGCAGTCTTGAGTCTTGGGCAGGGTAATGGGAGGGATATAAAGAAACAGCAACAACAACAAAATGCCCTCCCATCAGATGTCAAGGAAATAAACAACTACCTGACTTTTAGAAAACATCTGAAGACAGCCCTGTTTAGCGAAGTTTTTAATGTTTGATGTTTTGTCATGTTTTTAATATTCTGTTGGAAGCTGCCCAGAGTGGCTGGGGGGGGCGTGGCCAGATGGTTGGGGTAAAAGTAATTATTATTATTATTATTATTATTATTATTATTATTATTATTATTTTATTTTGATGCAGAGACTCCTGCAGTCACTGCATAGGCTTTTACTAATCTCCCCAGGAGAGCTGTATTGCTTTGCATGCCCACAATGACACTTGCCAATATCCTCGCTCGAAACCAAGAGGTCTGGCTCTCCTTGGCTTGGAAGGAGAGAAGCAGCTCTTTCAGGGAAAACTCCAGTGCCCTGGGGTGGCTGCCGCTCTGTTGAACTGACCCTCCTTTCTTTTCCTCTCTCTCTCTCTCCCCTCCTCCTTTCTCCCTGCAGAAGTCGCTGACCACAGACATGATCCCCGAACAGAAGACGTTTGTGGACACAAAAGGATCTGGCATCCGGCCTTCTGTCCCAGGGACCCTCTTTGCTCTCCCTCTCCTCCTTTTGAAAGTGGCATTATAGAAGAAAAGAGGGACGAGTGCTCTGAGGGGGTGGGGGAAGGCGCAGCCCAAACTTTTGCGCATGGAGAGATGGACAAAGACACCTTGAAAACGTTTCCTTTGGCCTTTTGGCCTTCCGGAGTCTCTGCTTTCGAAAAGGCACGGCGGCAAGTTGCAGGAGCTTTGACAGGACAATTTCCCCCAGGAAATCTGTGCTGAGGGAGCACTTAAACGCCGGGAATTCTGCATCCTCAAAGAAGGGTTTTTTTCTCGCTTTGTGTTTCTTTTTGGTTTGAAGTGTCTAGAGCAAGAGTCCGAGAGTCTCCCATTGTGTCCAAATACATCCATGTTTGAAAGGGTTCGCAAACGGCGTTTCAAAGAAGCACGCCTGCTTTTGCAAGCGGTTGGAGAATCTCGCAGAGGCTGACTCTGGACGGAGAGACTGAGCCAGTTGTGGCTGATGCGCCTTAGTTTGCCAAACTGCTTTGCAGGGCAAGAGACAGCTATGTCCCTTTCCCCATGTCCCCCCCAGTCTCCATACCATTCCTTTTTGCTGCTTGGAAACAAACACACAACTGTCTCCTTCCTCCCCTCGGCCAAGCTTGGCTTCCGTCACCCACAGAAGTGTCTTAACTTTCTCCTCTCAAAGCAGAAGGTGGAGAAGATGTTTGTGCAGCTGGCGGGGGGCAGGGGGATCCCTCCAGGAGTGCAAGGAGCACTGTGAGATGAGCAGCAACACCCCATGATTTTCTAGGCCTTCAGGACAGCCTTCCTGAGAGCAAACCCAGTCAAGTCTCGTGGTGGAACAAGAAGCGTATCGGACAGGTTGAGAGGAGATACCCCGTTCTGCTGTTTCTTCTGATTCCCTTCCTCTCTCTTTTCTAGGATTTTTGCTGTCCAAGAGGTGAAACTTCTCCTCTTCTCAAGATTGCCCCAATGTCACTTTGGGTACCTGATGGATGGAAGCAGCCATAGCTGGCAACCAGCATTCATTACTCTCCTTTGATCCTAGGCATATCTAGCATATGTATATCAAGAGAGACCTGCTTCTTTATATACCGTATTTTTTGCTCTATAAGACTCACTTTTTCCCTCCTAAAAAGTATGGGGAAATGTGTGTGCGTCTTATGGAGCGAATGCAAGGCTGCGCAGCTATCCCAGAAGCCAGAACAGCAAAAGGGATTGCTGCTTTCACTGCGCAGCGATCCCTCTTGCTGTTCTGGCTTCTGAGATTCAGAATATTTTTTTTCTTGTTTTCCTCCTCCAAAAACTAGGTGTGTCTTGTGGTCTGGTGCGTCTTATAGAACGAAAAATACGGTACATATGGATATACGTAACCAAACACATAACCTGGATAGGGTTCCTTTAGCTTTCCTGTCTTCTTTTTTAAGGATCAAAACCACAACAAAAATGTATTATTGTAAAGGTCTTTTTTTAATTATTATTTAACCAATGTCTACAACAGGGAACAAAATATCTCTGCCCTCCATGTTCAAGATGGCCTCCTCCAGAGCCCTGGGGCTGGTGGGGGCGTTGGCAAGAGGAGAGCAGTTGGGAGTGCTTAACCAATATCTAAAATAAACATACCAAGAAGCAAAGTGTGTGCTGTTTGAGTCACTGGCCGTCCCCCCACAATCCTACTTCCCCATCCTGCTTGAGGAAGGTGAGGGTAAAGCTTAGAGCAGCTGCCTCAACTTGCCTTTCTGTAGGTGAATACAGCTGGAAATGGTCAAACCACCATATTTCTGGTCTGTGCCTATTTCATTTATATTTTTTAAAAACTATATGCTTAAAAGGTAAAGGGACCCCTGACCATTAGGTCCAGTTGTGCACGACTCTGGGGTTGCGGCGCTCATCTCGCTTTATTGGCCGAGGGAGCCGGAGTGCAGCTTCCAGGTCATGTGGCCAGCATGACTAAGCCGCTTCTGGCAAACCAGAGCAGCACACAGAAACGCCGTTTACCTTCCCGCCGCAGTGGTACCTATTTATCTACTTTGATGTGCTTTTGAACTGCTAGGTTGGCAGTAGCAGGGACCGAGCAACGGGAGCTCACCCTGTCGTGGGGATTCGAACCCCGGCCTTCTGATCTGCAAGTCCTAGGCTCTGTGGTTTAACCCACAGCGCCACCCGCATCCCATGTGCTTAACCTAGTTAAAAAAAACCCTCTAAATGGTTAGCATAAAAAAAATTTCAATCATTTAATAGACCAAGCCTTCGATGAACCTTTGAGGGAGTTGGAGGGTGTTTAGCCTTGAGAGAAGACAGGTAGCTATCTTCAACTTCAGAAAGTTGAAGATAGCTACCCATCTTCTCCTCTCAAGGCTAAACATCTTCCAACTCCCTCAAAGGTTCACATGGAAGGTAGAACAAGCTTGTTTTCTGCTGCTCCAAAGAGGAGGACCTGAACCAATGGATTCAAACGGTAAGACAGGAGATTCTGACTAAACATTAGGAAGAACTTTCTGAAGGTAGGAGGTATTTGCCAGTGGAACGGACTCCCTCAGAAGATGGTGGACTCTCCTTCATTGGAGGCTTTGAACCCGTGTTTCCCAGCTCTTTTTGGACTACAATTTCCATCATCCCTGACCACTGGGATGATGGGAGTTGTAGTCCAAGCACGGTTGGAGACCCAAGTTTGGGAAACAACTGTTTTCAACTGAGGTTGGGTGGCCCTTTGTCTGGGATTTTTCAGCTGTGATTCCTGCATTCCTGCAAACCAGCTTTGACCTGATTTGGAATCATAGAATCTCAGTTGGATATTACCCTGAGGGTAATATCGCCCAACCCTCTGCAATGCAGGAATACACATAAGCCATATCAAGGCACCTATGCCCCCTTTCCACCCGCTTGTGTGGACAGGAAGCTGGCAATGTGGAAACACCCCCGACCTTAATGACACACACATGACATTTGAAACAAAGTGGGTGGGGCGCAACCATGCTGTGTTTTAAGATAGTCATGAGTAAAAAGGTAAAGGGACTCCTGACCATTAGGTCCAGTTGTGACCGACTCTGGGGTTGTGGTGCTCATCTCGCTTTATTGGCCGAGGGAGCCAGTGTACAGCTTCTGGGTCATGTGGCCAGCAGGACTAAGCCGCTTCTGGTGAACCAGAGCAGCGCACGGAAACGCCGTTTACATTCCCGCCAGAGGGGTACCTATTTATCTACTTGCACTTTGACGTGCTTTCAAACTGCTAGGTGGCCAGGAGCAGGGACCGAGCAATGGGGGCTCACCCCGTCATGGGGATTCGAACCGCTGACCTTCTGATTGGCAAGTCCTAGGCTCTGTGGTTTAACCCACAGCGCCACCCGCGTCCCATGGTCATGAGTAAAGGTAAAGGTACCCCTGCCCATACGGGCCAGTCGTGTCCGACTCTAGGGTTGTGCGCCCATCTCACTTAAGAGGCCGGGGGCCAGCTCTGTCCGCAGACACTTCCGGGTCACGTGGCCAGCGTGACGAAGCTGCTCTGGCGAGCCGGCACCAGCGCAGCACACGGAAACGCCGTTTACCTTCCCGCTATAAAGCGGTACCTATTTATCTACTTGCACTTTAGGGGTGCTTTCGAACTGCTAGGTGGGCAGGAGCTGGGACTGAAAGACAGGAGCTCACCCCGCCGCGGGGATTCGAACCGCCGACCATGCGATCGGCAAGTCCTAGGCACTGTGGTCTTACCCACAGCGCCACCCGCGTCCCTATGGTCATGAGTACCTACCATAAAAAGGCCCTAGGATCATGGGGAGCTTCTTCATAGGCAAGCCATGAGTATCTAGCCCAGGGCTCTCTCCATAGAGTGGCAACGACTCTCCGGCATTCCAGGTGGTGCCACTTCCAGCCATAAAAGGTAAAGGGACCCTTGACCATTAGGTCCAGTCGTGGCCGATTCTGGGGTTGCTGCGCTCATCTCGCTTTATTGGCCAAGGGAGCCAGCGTACAGCTTCCGGGTCATGTGGCCAGCATGACTAAGCCGCTTCTGGCGAATCAGAGCAGCGCATGGAAATGCTGTTTACCTTCCCGCCAGAGTGGTACCTATTTATCTACTTACACTTCGTGCTTTTGAACTGCTAGGTTGGCAGGAGCAGGGACGAGCAACGGGAGCTCACCCTGTCGTGGGGATTCGAACCACTGATCTTCTGATCAGCAAGTCCTAGGCTCTGTGGTTTAACCCACAGCGCCACCTGCGTCCCTCACTTCCAGCCATACCTGGAGACATTACTGGATGCTGAACTAGCATGATGGTTATGCTCTGCCTTCACAGCTGGAAGCTGCAATGCTTCTGAATACCAGTTTCTGGAAACCCCAGGAGAGGAGAGGTCACATGTTTTTTGGGGTACAGCCTGCTGGTTTCCCTCTGGGGCATCTGGTTGGCTGCTGTGAGAACAGAATGCTCGACTAGATGGACCACTGGCCTGATCCAGCAGCCTCCTTTCATGTTTTTGTGGCTGCAGGGCTCAAATGTGGCCAGGGGCAAGAGATGGTGGGTCTGAATGGCCTCATTTGCTAAGAGGCAAACGGCCGCTTGTTCAGGTGACTGATCGGAAACAAGCTCAGTGGAAGAACCAGAGCTCTTCTCAGAAATACCCGGGCCCATTATATATGCTCTCAACAGCCGCCTCTCCAAATGGGGAAGAAAATAGATACAATCTCTGGAGGGCAATGAAATTGAAAGATTCTGATGTGCCTCGCAAGCAAACAGAACTCCACGAAATTGCCTATTGCCGCTGCCTTTATGATAATTGCCTTCCACCTGTTCTACCTGCAGGTGGAGATTGGGGAAAAAGGATGGGGAGCAGGAGGGAACGCATCTTTGCAAGGTATTCCAAGGCAAAGGAAATCGCTTCTGGGCTGAAGGGAGCCAGGCCAGAAGACACAGTGATGGCCGTGGCTTGAAATTGCCCGTCAGCTGCAAAACTGCCTTCGGTGGAGGGAAGTCAATTGCTGGGGTTCTGCGCCTCTCCCCCCCAGCTGTTTTTGTTGTTGTTGTTTTTGTCCTTGGGGAATTGCTGGTGAGCAAATTACAGTGGTACCTCGGGTTAAGTACTTAATTCGTTCCGGAGGTCCGTACTTAACCTGAAACTGTTCTTAACCTGAAGCACCACTTTAGCCAATGGGACCTTCTGCTGCTGCTGCGCCGCTGGAGCACAATTTCTGTTCTCATCCCGAAGCAAAGTTCTTAACCTGAAGCACTATTTCTGGATTAGCGGAGTCTGTAACCTGAAGCGTATGTAACCTGAAGAATATGTAACCCAAGGTACCACTGTACAGTGGTGACAAAATGAGAAGGGTGCACTTATCCAGAGACCGCACAATTGCCTTTAAATATGAGCCATAGCTCATTAGTGACACAAGGAGCTTGACGAGTTCGATTGGTTAGAGCATGATGCTGGTGACACCAAGGTTGCAGGTTCGATCCCTGTACGGGACAGCTGCATATTCCTGCATTGCAAAGGGTTGGACTAGATGGTCCTCAGGGTCCCTCTACAATTCTGTGATTCTGGCTCATACCATTGGTTCATCTATTGCATGGGTAGGCAAACTGAGGCCCGGGGTCTGGATCCGGCCCAATCACCTTCTAAATCCGGTCCGCGGACAGTCCGGGAATCAGCATGTTTTTACATGAGTAGAATGTGTGCTTTTATTTGAAATGCATCTCTGGGTTATTTGTGGGGTATAGGAATTCATTCATTAATTTTTTTTTTCAAAATATAGTCCGCCCCCCCCCCCAAGGTCTGAGGGACAGTGGACCGACCCCCTGCTGTAAAAGTTTGCTGACCCTGATCTATTGTCTACACCAAGGGTCAGCAAACTTTTTCAGCCATGGACCGGTCCACTGTCCCTCAAACCTTGTGGGGGTGGGGCAGACTATATTTTGAAGAAAAAAAAGAAAATACATCTCTGGGTTATTTGTAGGGCATAGGAATTCGTTCTCCCCTCCCCTTCAAAATAAAGTCTGGCCCCCCACAAGGTCCAAGGGACAGTGGACCGGCCCCCTGCTGAAAAAGTTTGCTGACCCCTGATCTATTGTCTACACCAGGGGTCAGCAAACTTTTTCAGCAGGGGGCCGGTCCACTGTCCCTCAGACCTTGTGGGGGCGGGGCGGACTATATTTTGAAGAAAAAAAAGAACAAATTTCTATGCCCCACA